CACCACCACCCTACGCAATCCCTTTCCCCCACCTAGCTGCCACCCCTCTCACCCAAAACCCTAGTCCAAACCGCCGGCCACCCCTTGATTTTCCCTCCCTCATCACTTGCCATTATGCCTTTCCTACATTAGCTCTTCATATTTTAGGTAACCCAAATAATTACCAAATTCAAATCTATTTGAATTTGAAATTATTACCTAAAATATAAATTCTATTTTATGAAAGTTTCCAAATCCCATCCTATTTGAATTTTAAATTAAATTGGGATGAGATCTCTCTTACCAAATTTAATTTCCTAAATTAAGAAAGCATTAAATGCTTCCATAAACCTCTCCCTTCTCTCCCTAAGCCGCCGGCCCCATTCAATTCCTCTTTGAAATTGTTTCTAAAACTCAAATTACTCTCTTGGAAATAATTCAAACTCTCTCTTACCCGCCCCATGCTCCCCTCCCTTAATTAATTCCTTTCCTAACATGGGTTCAAATCAAGGAATTAATTCCCTAATTCCCTCCACTTTCTCTCTCCAATCCACTTAATCCCCATAATTACTCTCATCAAATCCCCACCCAATCCCAACCAAAGCTGCGCCCTTTTCTCCCACCTAATAGATTAAATACTCCCCCATATACTCTCTAATTCCCCTTTCCAATCTTGTCCCAGCCCCAACAATCACATCCCAATATCTTCCCCACGTTCTCCTCTCTTGTCCCTGTGATTTCTGATGCCTGTCCCTGTGTTCCAGCAAGTTGACGTGTTGTCCCGTATCCCTGAAGGCCATAAGTTGTGGTTCAAAGCTCCCAATACATTATTGAAGCTGCCAAGATTCACAGCAAGTCTATCTTGCTGTCCTGCATTTCCAAAGGCCATCCTTGCTATTCAAAGACCTCTCTGACGTAGTAGCTGCTGCCCAGATTTTCGGAAAGCTGTTTGGGTTGCTGTCCAGAAGTATTTCCAGTGTCGAACTGCTGTCCCGACCCTCATTGCTGCTTTCTCGGCATCCCGAGCTGCTGTCCAGTCATTCTGGTGACCTCCTATGGCTGTCTCGCCGTCCAGAAGGTTCCCGATCGCCATCCTGAAGGCTCCCAAACATGAAGTTGTTGTCCACTTCCTCAAACGCATAAGCGACTACGCCGGAGCGCCGAATTAGTCGTTCCCTTGGCAAACTTTTCTTTCTACTCTTATATCTTCCTAATTCACCTTCCAATTCTAGTTATAGTTTGATTCACAACGATTCATGTTGATCCCTCCGCTAAAGCATAGTAATTTAGGGAGTTAAGTGAAGAATCCTTGCATAGTGATTGAGATCTTATTGCTAGCATAGGGATTTTGTTGAAAACCTTCCATGTATGCAACGTTAGCCTAAGATTGTTCTATCACCTTAGTGTTTTATCTTATCGTTTAAATCAATATAAGATTTTGCTTATTATTGTTCTCTAAAATTTAAGCATGCAAATTTCTTAGTCAAATCATATTCTTTGCATTTATGTCCTGCATCAGGCAATCGCGGGTCATCCCTAGATAGAATAATTATTGGTGTTGTAGCGGTTATTGGATTGAAAAATCAATGGTAGTTGCTTGCGGTTAATGAATCAAAATTCCCTTCCTGGAAGGATCTAATAGAAAATAGACTCTAGTAATTTGAATATCTATAATAAATGATATAAAATATATTCATTAGACGAGTGAATAAAATTAGTTGATGCAGGACCACGTAATTGAAATTAACTCGTATGGATGTTTGATGTAGACACACAAGAAGAATTTGACGCAATGGATAGAAGTTAAAACAAACTTTATTAAAATAAAAGCAGACAACTAAGACTTGACAAACACAACAAGAAATACTAGGAGATTTTAAAGAAGAGGAATGCCAAGAGCCATAAGACTTTAATTTTTTCATTAGAACCAAAGCATTAAGCTTAGGAATCTTTCCCCCAAGCTCACGGAAAAACACCCAAACCAGGAACCAAGGAGACAGCCACGGGAGACGAAGGAACCGCACGGACCAAAGAGCCACGACCACGGGAAACGAGGGACCCAACCGTGAAGTCCCAAAAGGCAAAGCATCCCAACATAAATTCTTATGCATAGAAGTCATCTCCCAATAAATATAAGCCACGGATTCCCAAGAGACGAGAAGAAATGGGAAGGGGAAGCGACAAGGCCACTCCAAAAGTAAGCTTCATAATGAGGTACCTTTTTGAGAATTAAAGAGCTACTAAACTCCAGCTTCAAGCAACTAAAAGAACAAGCTCAACGCCATGTGCTCCAAAACAGCCAACCCGTGAACCATCAGTAGCCAAGGACCAATCGAGCCAGCAAACCAAAGGTCTACCAAGCCTTATGCACAATCTACCATGATCATTGGATGCTTTCCCATCATTGGATAGCTAAAAAAGAAAATAAAATAAAATAAAAAACAAAATATACTATTGTCCAAATAAAATAGAAGTACAAAAATTCTTGATAGCATCAATGTTGCACAACTTATGATTAGAATAATTCTAGAACAAAAATTACTAGCGAATTCAAACAATGAATCAAAATGATTAGTGGTTATCCGCTTAGGCTAAATCACATAGTGAGAGCTTTAAAAACTCTCAAAATAAATAGAAAATAGCACAATGAATAATAGTAGCTTTCAAAACAATCCCTAGTCTAACAATGAGAATTGAAAAGCATAGAGGTGCACTCAAATCCTATGTTTACTAAGCTTAAGCAAGAGCAATGCGGAGGAGCCCGTCGTGACTGCAATCAAATCAAGAAGAGTTAGACTAAAATGGATAAGATGCAAGTAGGGAGAGAAACCTTCGTCAAGGGGTAGCGGAGATCCTACACTCAATGCCTTCGAAGTGTTCGTCAATAGCCTCTACCAAATAGATCAACGTACGCTCCAAGTAATCCTCGACGGTGAGATCAACCCTTGGATTCACGTCGAAGAAAGTAGATTGTAGAATGTCGACGAAGCCATCCTCGTCTCAAGTTATGTCGTAATCAGTTTCCGGACCCGCCATTCATGGGCGTCGGATGCTAAATCTCCTTCTCCTTGTTAGGGTTCTTGAAGATGATCGAAGAGAAAGAAGTTTCTCTTCCTATCGCAAGAGAAGAGAGCCAACACCTAAAATCTGAAATTTGTTTCTAATTTTGTAAAAGTGGAAAACTAATTGAGAGAGAGGAGATTTGAGGGAAGGAGGGAGAGATAGAGAGGGGGGAGACTAGAGAAAGAAGGGAGATAGAGGGGGCGGCAGGTAGAGGGATGATGGGTTGATTCCCCAAATCAATTCCTTAGGTTAAGGAATAATTTGAGGATTTATGGTAGTTGGGAAATTTCGGCCAAGTGGGGTGAGAAGGAATTCGAATTATTTCCAAGTGGGGTTGGAGAATTAGGAAACAAATCCTAATTGACTCCAATAGAGGGGCCGACGGCAATGAGGGTTAGGGAGACAATTAATGGAGAGGATTTAAGGCTTCCAAAATTGATTTCTACTATTAGGAAATATACTTTTAAGATCCAATTGAATTTAAAATTCAAATTAAACCTTTAATGAATACTTTCCTAAAATAGAAAAGTTAAATTATGAAGGTTTTGAAATCAATTCAGAATTTATTTGAATTTCAAAATCTATCCCAATTTATCTAAGGCCCAAATAGGAAACACAAGGTGAGATGGGTTGAGGATGAGCAAACCGGTGGCTAAGGATGTCTGGTCGGCGGCAAGCACGGGTGAGGGCTCCAGTCGTGGGTTTGGGAGGAGAGGAAGGGCTCGGGTGGGGCTTGGCCGTGGGTTTGGGGGAGGAGGAAAAGGGGCTTGGGTGGGGCTATAACCGTGGGAGTGAGAGGGGAGGAAGGGAGGAGAACCAAGAGCCACCGGTGGTGACTGTTGGGCACGACGGGTGGCCTCTCCTAGGCTCCACCAAGATCTCTAACTCTCTCTCTCAAGCTCTCTCAGAAGCTCCAAGAAGACAAGTGAAGGAAAATATCTAATAATCATTCATTACTCAATAACATGAAAGAAGAGGCTATAAATAGCCAACTATAATGACTCAATGAAATAAAAGACACTCTTGCCCTTTGGGCTTACATACGACGCTTCCCATTAAAGGGGTACAAACGGAAAACATAAAGACACTTAATAAATAAAATGCATGAATAATAAAATAACACAAATGACTCAAAAATACAAAGACTCGATCGTGGCCGTAGATCGGCGGCCACGTCTCTGATAAACCTTCCACGATCTGATGTCCCCATCATTAGTATCAGAGAATTATAAAAAAAAAGTTGTGCAAAATAATTTGCAAAGATTAGATTTAACTCCACAACAATACTTAGCAAGAATTCATGAAAAATGAGTATTCATAAAGTCAAATCCAAATAGTTGAAATACGGCTAAAGATGATGAAGATTACAATTATTGTTGGTAATAATGCATGCACTTTGAAATAAGTGGATTCTTTTACATACAAGATTAGCTTATCTAGAAATCTTGTAATTGTGACCAAATATTCCTATTGAGTTGTGGTTCTAGTTCATCCATTGTTGGTGTGTTAGAGATGTTAGCATAGTGTTGTAAACGATTGGATTATCAAGGCAAATGTACATTTGCTGGCTCTTTGCTTCGAGTAGGAGTTTACAGATGTTTCTTTAAAATTCCAATTTAATTCAATTATGCCGTCATAGAAAAGCAGTTATTATTGTTGAAAGAGAGTAATAATTTCACTGGGATATTTTTCTCTCCAATTTTTCGTGCACAATGCTCACATAAAACACTCAAAAGTAGAATACATGTATGGACTTCAACTGTTATTATGGCACTCTAGCAAGTCTTTTGGGGTCTATAATCTAATAAACAAATCAATCAGAAAAGCAAGCAGATAAAAGTAACAAATATGCCAATTAACCAAACTTTGAGCCCATTCATCTACGCATGCATCATACCTAAAAGTTGAACCTTCCATAGATATAAATAAATGAATAAATAATAGAGAATAAGCTAAACCTGTCGATTAACCAGCACGATATCCCCATCTTGCAAATGACGATATACAATTTTCCCTTCTAGTTTAGTTTCTGGGCCCATTCCCACCTTAGTAATCGCTCTTGATGTAGGCAATTTCCTAGCTATTGCATTTCGCATGTCCATACCTGTTTATGTTCTTAACAATTTGTTATCTAGAAAAAGCAAGGGGCGTACAAAAATAGCAAAATAATTCGATAAAACAATAAATCAAACAAAAAATTGCGGACTAGCATGAAAAAAATGGAAAACCATCAACCTTTTTTTATTGCAACGAAAGTTTATTACTCTTTAGCGACAAGGTTACAAGCAGAAACTGCTATAAAAAATTGCCTACAAAAATGAAACAAAGTAAAATACAATGGATCGAGATATCCTGAAACTGAGAGACTAATATCTATCCAAGAGCATATAAACAGGCCCAATTTCAAACATCTCCTAAATTAAAAATACCAAATCATCAGGAGAATTATTGTGTCTACCTTGAAATCTAGTAAACTTGGATGAATAAAAAAAAAACAATTTTCAAATTATGCCACTTCAAGAAAACACAAGTTCAATGTGGACATGTTTCTTTCCCCTTGAATAAAAGTGTAAATGTATGGGTTTCAAATGATAAATTGATTAAAGTTCAAGCAAATGATAAGAGGGCAAGTAATATATGTACAAACATGAGCATCTGAAAAATAATCACGATTCCAAAAAGCTAAATCAAATTATCATGGACCAAATGTAAACTAATAAATTGTCTAAGAGGAGTTTTTTTATAACAATAAATAAAACATAAATGATAAGGAGAATTTTAATGGAATGATGAGAGAAACCATTTGAGCAAAAAGTACAATTTTGTTGGAATACCAATTTAGGCTTCGTTTGGGACGACTTTCTCATTGCTTCTTAAAGAAACTTTCTAATACAATTTTTAAAACATCTTTCTAATGCAAAAATTAAAATTTATGTACTAGAAAGCTGTTTTAAGAAGTAATAAGAAAGCAATCCCAAACGAAGCTTTCAAATGAGGATAGCAAAACATATTATAATGTCTAAAATTGTAAAATGGGTAAAAACATAGGAGTAAATGATCAAAATGATTCATAGACTTAATAGGTGTATTCATTTTAGTCTAGATTTTTCTAAGTGTTCAATTTAATCCCTCAACTCATCAAATCCGAATAAATTTGGTCAAATCATCAACTTTGTCATTTCTATGGAAAGAAATTGGTAAACAAAAGCTTTCTATTAGGCCATTTTTACTTTTAAGAGACGATCTCATTACTTAATATCAATTCAAAGTTTCAAACAAAAGAAAATGGCCCTAAAAAGTCCAAAACTCCCTCATAAAAATAACAAAGTTGACAATATAACTAAATTGATTTAGATTTAGCAAGTTGAACGACTAAATTGAACATTTGAGAAAGACAAACACTAAAATAGACACATGAAATGTATATCGACCATTTTAGTCATTTACACTAAGAGATAATATTTAATGATCTATATTATGGACAGAACACAATGGTTGAGGAGAAAAAAATTAAAAATAAAGCAACGAAAATTGATTTATAATGAACTCAACAACATAATATTTAGACACAGGAAAACTTCACAAAATGTCAGCATAAGCACATAGTTCACGGGACTAAAAAGGAACGAAAAAAAAAAAGTAAACACCTCAAATATTAGTATCTGATCAAAAAGATAAGATAAAAGAAATATATAAAAAATTCTATGATATACTTTGAAATCCAACAAATGTTAAATAATTGGAGGAGAATGTTGTCAGTATGCTATTTAATAATAGGATGACTGAAGTGACATTCATTTCCATAGAGTTGTTTATTACTGTTAAATCTCAGCCTCTCGATCCCACATTGATCCCACGGATGCAAATAGAGATATGTGGGAAGCCCACCACACGTTGAGTGCCTTCCTTAGTTAGGCAGCAAAATTAGGAAGGATTACATAACTCATTATTCTGTAGTTATTTGTTTCTTTATTTAAGCATCTTGTATAGATCTATAAATAGGGATTATGTTGACTAAAGTTTCCAGCGTACTTCAGAATTTTGGAGATTCGGCATCTCCGTTTCCTGAATCAAAATAACGTACTTCTTTTCAATTATCTCCTTTTCTCGATTAAACTCGACTAGAAGTGAATGTTTCTTAGACTTGTATCTCTCGGCACATAATTGCAGTTGTTCTTGAATCTTGAGAAATTCGATCGGTATCGAATCTGAAAAACTTCCTTGCGGCGGGATCCATTGGCTTGTTGGAATTGGGACTTCAAGACCACTTGGTTTACTTTCTTGACTGCCTTCTACTTGATGTTTATCCATTTTTGACTTAAAAATAAAGGTAGACACAAAAACCTAGGATATACTAACCTAGTCTCTGATACCAAATTGATGCAACCAAAATTTGGATTGCCAAGACAAAAATCTTATTTTCATAAAAAAATATAGACTAGGACAAAAAAAACAAGAAAATAAACAACAATAGACAATATAAAAAAAAAATAATACTAAGGTGACACACAAACAAGACTTTCCTTTATATAACTTTAAAAAAAAAAACAACTCAAACGAACAATACTTTCTTAAAAACATAATACAACTTTCAAACTTGTAATAAACTCTAACACAACACAATCAACTTACAACTAAATATTTTAAAAAGTTTGAGAAGAATGATACAAATGGGGTGGACACTTACGGAGAGAATAAATAGATAAGAAGCCCGAGACGAAGTCAAAGAGAGGAGAAGAGAAAGTGGATATAGCTCGCAAGCTATCCAAGAAAAAACCCTTGGGATTTTAGCTCCAAAAATCATCCATAATCTCTTTTTAAATTCCACAAAACAACCCCTATTTATAGGAAAAGAAAGGGAGCTAAACAGCTAAAATAGCCGCCCATCAAGCTAATAAGGGGGAGGGGCAGAAGACCAAAAGCCCACCGCCTGGAGAAGCACACAAATAGGCACACAAGATAGCCAACGAACGGACAACGCCAGGGGGAAAGAACCGGCCAGGCAGAGGAAACGAAGAGGTAAAAATAGGGGAACCAAACAGCCCAGCAGAAGGAACCGAACAGCCTAAAGCAAGAGATAGGGGGGTATGGCTTGCTTACATCAATTCTCATCCAGTTGAGAGATCTCATCTCCTGATGAGATGACATTAGAACCTCCATGACGTGCCGAAGGAGTCTCATCAAACTCTTGCATTAAGGCCACATACCTTCGATGGATCATTTCTTTTTCTTGCTTAAACTAGTCCTGAAGAATTTGCTTTCTCTTTACATATTTTTCTGTATACAAGTACAACTAATATTGAATTTTATACAACTCATTCTGAATGGGATTGGTAGAACTTCCTTATGGAGGGATCCATTGGCTTTTAGGAATATATTCTTCAAGATCACTTGGTTGTTTTTGATTTTCCCTTTTTTTTTAAGACACAAGAAAAGAAAGGAAGACTTAACAAAAACCTAAGCTCTGATAGCAAATTGATGCAACAAGAAAATCTTGCAAATACACAAAACTTCCTTTCATACAACATAGATAAATATAAAAACTAATATTGCAAATTAAGAGACAACTTCAACTACAGATGACAAACATAAACCATAAAAAATATATATATTTTAGAGAAGAATGATACATGTGGAGTGGAAACCGTGGATAGAGAAGAAGGGATTAGAAGACCGAGACAAATTTTAAGAGGAGGAGAAAGAAGACCATAACTCGCAAGCTATGTAAACCCGCAGGTTTGTACATTACACAAATTTTCATTTCTAAAACCCACCTAAAACAGCCCTTATATACGAGAAGAAAAGGTAAAAAAAGATAATACATGTATCTAATGCACCTAAAAATCAGCCAATAGAATACCCTTGAAAACCGCAGCAAGCAGGGACTAAAGGGGTAGCCGTCTGGGGAAGAAACCGAAGCATCAAAACAACCCCAAAAGGGGGGAAAACTGAAGCATTAAATGGCTCATAAAGGGAAAACCGAAAAATCATCTTTGGAAATTAATATCAGTATGGGGAACACCAAAAGGCCTCTTTTTCCTACATCATTTCACAGTCAAAGTAGAAGAAAATTAGATCCAAGAGCACTCAAATGCATCTTTGTTAGATATTCAGCCACCCAAAAATGTTACAAGTGTTATCATCCCCCCACACAAAAAAAAAATACCTTTGTCTCGATTAATGTTACCTTTGATGAACAAAGCTCCTATTTTCCTAAACCTCATCTTCAAGGGGTGACTGAAATTGAAGAAGATGAGGAAAGCAAGCTTGCCCCCCTTGACCTTCCTCCACCGCCTCAAGCCAATCCTTCTAAAATCAAAAATAGGAAAACTAAAGACAAAGCTGACAATAGAATTGGGAATGTATACTCCAGGCGTACAAGTTCAAACTATGCTCAAAAGAAAGTCCAAGAATCAGAACCATCTCCTGAAATTAAGGCAAATACAAACTCACCAGCTCCTTTGTATCCCATAATTAACTCTATTTCCTTCAATAAATTTTCATCCTCACACAAAAACTACCTGGCTACACTAGAAGATATTTATATTCCTAATAATGTTTCTAAGGTCTTATCTAATGAAAATTGGAAAAAGCCATGAAAGATGAAACTCAAGCCCTAGAGAAGAACAATACAGGGAAATCATCAACCTTCTAAAAGAGAAAAAACCAGTCGGCTGCAAATGGGTGTTCTCTGTAAATACAAAGATGATAGTACACTAGAAAGGTACAAATCAAGACTAGTGGCGAAAGGGTATACTCAAATAGCATTGACTATCAGGAAACATTTGCATCTATAGCCAAAATGAACACTATCAGGATCCTACTCTCACTAGCAACTAAGTATAACAAGCATCTGGAATAACTAGACGTAAAAAATGCATGCTTGCATGGGGACTTGGAGGAAGATATATTTATGGAGATACCAACAAGATTTAAGGAAAAATCTAGAAGTGACAAGGTGTGCAGGTTGAGAAAAGCCCTATATGAGTTAAAACAATCACCTAGGGCCTAGTTTGGAAAATTCTCAAACTTCATGTTCTTAATGGGGTATCAACAAAGTCAAGGGGACCATACACTATTCTTTAAACACTCAGACTCAGAGGGAGTCACAATATTATTAATGTATGTAGATGATATTATATTCACTGGGAATAATGAAGAAGAGAAAGTTAATCTAAGAAAAATTCTTACCAAAGAATTTGACATCCAAGAGCTTGGTAGACTAAAATACTTTCTCGAAATTGAAGTTGCCCACTCTAGCAAAGGAATCTTCATTTCACAACAAAAATACATTTAAAATCTTCTAAAAGAAACAGGAAAACTAGCTTGTAAACCAGCACCAACAAATATAGAACCAAATCTTAAACTAGGGGAAGTCAAAGAAGATCTGGATGTAGATATAGGGGCTTACCAAAGATTCGTATGAAAATTGATCTACATTTCCCATACCAGATCAGATATAGCATTTGTTGTAAGTATGGTCAGTCAGTTTATGCAGAATCCAAAACATACTCATATGCAAGCAGTAGATAGAATACTGCACTACCTTAAGGGATATCCAGGAAAATGAATTCTCTTTATAAGAGACCAAAGAGTAACCCTAGAAGCATATACACTGATGCGGACTATGAATGATCACCAGTAGACAAGAGATCTACCTCTGGATATTGCATATTCCTAAGAGGAAACTTAGTTACATGTAGAAGGAAGAAATAGAATATAGTAGCAAGATCTAGTGTTGAAGCAGAATACAAAGCTATGGCCTTGAGAATATGTGAGTTACTAAGGATTAAGATGATTCTAGAAGACCTAAGAATCAAATGGGACGATCCCATGATACTACATTGTGATAATAAATCAGCAATAAGCATAACCCACAATCCAGTCTAGCATTACAAGACCAAGCACATAGAAGTGGACAGACATTTTATTAAATAAAAATTAGATAGTAGTCTAGTATGTATCAACCATGTATCGTCAAAAGATCAACTTATAGATATCATTACCAAAGAATTGGACTACTCTACCTTTTTCAAAACGATTGTCAAGCTATGAATGACAGATCTATATTCCCCATCTTGAGAGGGAGTGTTAAATCCAAGCCTCTCAATCCCACGTTAATCCCACGGCTGCAAATAGAGATCCATGAGAAGCCCACTTCACATTGAGTGTCTTCCTTAGTTAGGCAACAAAATTAGGAAGGATTATATTACTCATTATTTTGTAGTTATTTGTTTCTTTATTTAAGCATCTTGTATAGATCTATAAATAGGTATTATGTTGAATAAAGTTTGAAGCTTTTCCCTCTCCAATTTTCTGAATACAACAATTACAATACTCGAAAAAAAGAATTTAATTAAATTTTTTCTGAAGTTTTATACCCCAATTTTCCTGAAAATGATAAAAAAAATTCATAAAATTCTAATTTTTGTTATGATCAGATATATATAGAAGTACAAAAAGATGTGCATGTACCAGGACTTTATAAAATTAATTTACTAAATCAATTAGGACATAAAATTTATTTAATAAAAATCACAAGCATTATTTACTGTAAACCAATTTAATGTACCGTAGCTAGCCTTCTTTTTTCGCTCCAAAACACATAAAACTGAGGATTGGAAAATGGATGGGTGTCATGGTTTGGAACATAGACTAATTAAGCTAAACATTACAATAAAAAACAATAATATTAAATTCAAATGCAAAATACAAATTCAAACTTTACATTTCAAATTGATCTCATAAGGCCAACATTTTGCATTTCTGACAACAGCTGACTTTGAGACACGCATCAATATAATAGGAAAATTATTGAGATGGTTTAGAACATCCACAATAGAGAAGTAGAAAGTAGAAACACTCACAAGGTAGGAAGGGATGTGAAACAACTATTAATAAAAATGTTTGGCACATGCTCAAACAGTCTCAAGGTGTGCAGCTATTAATTCTAAGAGTACATAGAAAAAATATGAGTACTTGGTATAAGTCCAATGTAACCTGCTTCCAATGTATAGAACTTCTCTCTCTCCATGAAATGTGTTGCTCCGGGATAAACATCAGGACCATTCAAGATAGCTTGTCTCAGCTTAGTAGCATTCCAGGAAGTTACTCTCTGTAAAATAACATTTTTCAACGTGAAGATAAAGGAGTCAATGCTCTACGTGAAGCATAAAGCAACAAAAGATCATCAGGAACCAATCTACATTATTTGAAAAAATTCAAGTAAATACATTTTGAGAGAAAACAAATCTAGTGAATGCAAAGTTTATTTTATACTTCACAACAAGCTATGTTATAGCTAAGCTAGCTTATAGCATATATTTCAACAAAGTTGATATGATGGAGGTCAAATTAGGGCTGCAAATGAGTCAAGAAGAACTCGATTCAGGCCTAACTCGAGCTCGACTCGCGAGCCAAATCCCGAACTTGAACTCGAGTCGAGCTCAAAGGTCGAGCTCGAGCTCGACTCGCCACTGAGAACGAGCTCGTCGAGAGACTCAATTCCACGTCCCGCACACGCTTCGGTGGTTAGCACATAGCACGAGCTTCTGGTTAGCACGCGCTTCCCCGCCGTTCCGCCTTCCACGGACCCGCGTTCAGATCCAACCCCCCCCCCCCTCTCTGTTTCGCACTTTCCATTTTTGCTGAGCCACAATCACAAGTAAAATCAAGTCTGAGCCTTCCGCTAGTTCGAACCGAGCTCAATACTCTAACAAGCTCAAAACTTTGAAACTCATAAACGAGTCGAGTCAAAGCCGTGGTCTAAACTCGTTTGCACCCCTAGGTCAAATTAAGGACCTAAAAAAAGGAGACTTCCACAGTGTTAACCAAAATTGTTGACAATAAGAACAATTATGAAACTCTCTTAACCACAACTAATCTAATCAAAAAAAATATGAATATTACAAAGAAAGTAGCATGAGTCATAACAATGTATAAGGCACAAAGATCACGTTCTGTTAAGATGACTCGTGAAACATACCTCTGGATATGTCAACCTGAGAGCAAAATAAGGAGGAATTCCTATTTCATTGACTGCTAGGTAAGGATCTGGAGATATTACAGATCGGCATGCAAAGTTAACCCTCTTTCCCATCATTTTCTGGCGAAGCATGCCTTCCTTCCTATCTACCAACTGGCGGATGCCATTTAGGACTCTATCACTTCTACCTACAATTAGAACAGTAAAAATCATAAACAAAGGATTCTCCGTCACTAAGAAAAAAAGGAAATCATGAACAAGCTATCAGGCACAAGAGGAAAATACAAATTTGTCAATATATCCCAGGCAAGCTAATTAAACATGATACAAAAGTTCGGCAAAGGCACAGAAACCAAAAATCAAAGGCACAAGAGCATAAAACAATTATAGAAACACAAATGGTAAATAATGGATTGTCAAATTTAAAAAACTACTGTTGACCCACCCTCATATGATTATAGAAAATTCAAATAGGGTTAAAAGTTTTGAAGCAGTCTATTCAACGATGGTGAGAATTTTTGCATATCAGCTACAGATTACCTTTTAACGTTTAATCAGTGAAACGGCTAATAAATAGTTAAACAATGAAGAAAAGTATAGATATGATCTTAGAAAAGATATATGGGTTATCACATCTAAGTTTGTAAATGGTCTATAAATCTGAAATTAAGACTGACGACCTCTTTGAATCAACACTATGAAGCACCTTACAAAGCTTTCTATGTGGAATGACGAAGTAACAAAAACAACCACACAAAAGAAAAAATATCAATCAGTTTGTCATCACTTAGGTTCGTTTGAGTCTATTAAGTCAATCATTATTCATCAAGCTGCCTCTTCAATTTAAGCTGCTGGAGAAAGCAAGTAATGAACTTCTAAAATCTGAAGATGAAAATATTTACATTTGAATATAAAGATACCCTTTCAAACAATGATTTGAAGTTCAAAAAAAAAAACAACAAAATAATATCCCACAAATTCTTCCATTTATTCCTACAAATTCATATAAAACTGAAAGAAAATAAGAGAATTCAAAACAACTCAGAAGTTAATCATAATTTCTTAGGTTCAACACTCTTTTACCTTTTCTTTCAATAGTTAGACTTTAGACAAACAAATAGTTGTTACTTCATTTCTCAATCATGCATTCTAGGATTATCTTGAATTTTGTCTTGAACAAGTTCATAAATTAAATGTCATTTTAAAATGAAGATTATTGTGCATAATGAAAGAATTTTACTATACTGTAAGCTTCTCGGTGTGTTCGAAAATTTTCGAAAGGTTGTTATGTAGTTTTTTGTATCTGTCACATGTCTGCACCCCACCTATTTGACTTTGCCTATAAGAGCCATGAATCTTTATTATTTTTTGAAAGTTAGGATCTAATGTACTTATTCTGAAGCCTACAGTATACGAGAGTGTGAGGCAGTAAATATAGAACAACGTCGAATCTTTATTAGTAATGTTTTTACGCAAGACACTATTCCATAGGAAATATTATTTGTTAAACACTTACAGAAAAAAGAAATTAAAACAATGTCAAGAAAAATATACGAAATCAGTGTTGCACAACAAGCATAATAAAAACGTCATCATAAAATTGGAAAACCCACTCATCATGAACCAAATAAAGTTCTCTTCAAGTTGAGCGATCTAAAAAAGGAAAAGAGCATCTGTCCTTCCAATCTAAGCAAACTACAAATGCAAAACAAAAATATAAAATGTAATTTGAAATTCAACTAAATCCAAGTTATATCTGCAACCAGCAACTCACATAAAAAAGGGAGCAATAGTTATTTTACAACGTCAGCCTCAGGTAGAACAATTTCATTTAGTTATCCGTAAACTGGAAGAAAGACTCCTAGGCTACCGTGATAAGTACAAATACAGTAAATAATCAGGCAGAAAAGAACTTTAGCAGAGAAGATTGCAGTGCCGCATAATTTCAAATGACGTCAAGCAAACTACGGTGATATTTACAATTAAATAATACCTGCAAACTTTGCTTCCAATCACGTTGTGCAGCATTTTCAACCCAGAGTCTTCATTTATGGTTTACTTCAGTAAATTCTAAACCAAAAAATAGAAAAAGAAGACTAGAAATGGCAAATTCTTAATTTTTTGGGAAAGTCCAATAAATTCATAACCTAAACAAAATTAAAAAAAAAATACATCTTCCAAAAAGAAAATCACAAAAAAGTAGTGTTGCGTCCAAGAGTATTCGCGGCGGTAGAGAATAAAAAGTTTAACGACTTAGCGTTGTACGAAAATCCAGCACACAATCAGATAAGAGAGAGGGTATAGCATTCATATGAGACAGCAATATTTTTATGTGGAAAACCACTGAAAAGGGGGAAAAACCACAAGGCCTAGCCCAGTTTGAATGAATCCACTAGTATTTGTAGTTGATTACAAATGAGGCCCTTCCTTGGGGGGAAGGCCTTGGATCTATGTACATCAAATGCAGTATGTTACATGATGGGAATACAAAGAGTTACTGTTGACGTGTTCATTTGGTCAGACTGACTGTAATCGGTGAGCGACGTAAGTCAGAAGGACCGTAGTCGGTGGGTGACAGAGGTCGGAAGGACTGTAGTCGGTGGGCTACGTAAGTTAGAAGGATCGTAGTCGGCGGAAGGAGGTAAGGACTATAGTCGGTGGGCAACGTAAGTAAGAGGGACTGTAGTCGGCGGGCGACGGAGGTCAGAAGGATTGTAGTTGGTGGGTGATGCAAATCAAGAGGACCGTAGTCGGTGGACGACGAAGGTCAGAAGGACTGTTGTCGGCGGACGAGGAGAACTCCAGCATTAGATGGTATTCGAGCAAAACTCTATAGTCAACTGGAGATCGGACAGAATTCTAGCGTCTCGTGGAAGTCGGGCGAAATTCCGGCGTCACTTAGAAGTTGGGGGGAATTCCGGCATCCCATGGAAGTCGAGAGGAATTCCTGCATCACTTGGAAGTCGGACGGAATTCCTGCAAAATTCCGACGACGGTGGTTGAGGAGGAGTTTCTTCCCTCTTAATCTTCTTCTCTTCTCTTCTCTTCTCCTCTTCTTCTTGGTTGAGTCCCCTCTCAAGAGAAATGAGGGGTCTATTTATAGATATTCTGGAGTGGCATGGCCTGTACATTGGTGAGAGATCAGGGCTAAACGGGGAATGGTTGGATGGACGGCAGATATTGAATACCTTGATCGTGTACCGTTCGTCAGGCATTTGAAGGTCTTAGTGATGTCGGAATTCAGCGATCTTGGGCTCGTTGGATTTGTCTCGTCGAGCCGCTCGATTAGACTATAAGCATGTCATATTTGGAAACTGTTTGGTAACCCAAATTGTGGTTCGAACTTTCCAATAGCACTCCGGGTCCCTGATTTGGACTCATTTGGGCTCAGATCGAGTTGAATTTGGTGTCGCTGGTTTCGTATTTCTGTGACGCTCAGTTGACGGTAAGTTCGCCAAAAATAGAGTTCAGGTGATCCCGGATTTAATTTTTTAAGTTTCCAGCTTGATTTTGCCTCAAGATTTGTGCCCGGTCAAGATAATTTTTTGATGATATATCTCCACGGATGCCTGGGCCCGCGCGTGGCACCCTCGGCCTGCCTGGCCCCGCCCGGCCCACTGACCCGCACAATTCCGCCTTCTGTTGGCAGTCGGGCGCCGGTTCAGGCCCGCTACTGGCGGTTGCCCAAACCGCCAGCCATATTTTTTAAAAAAATGTTTTTTTCTTTCATTAATAAAAAATTCGTAAAATTCCCAAAAAAATTTAAAAAAAAAATCAGATAAATTCAAAAATTCCAGAAAAATCTGGAAACTTTTTTTCTCTGCCAAAAAAAGACTATAAATAGCCCACTAGGGCCAGAGGGAAACTTGCACCTTCTCCTCTTCTCCTTCTGGCTTTTTGACATTTGAGGATTTCCGCTGTTTTCAGTAGATGACTTTCCATACTTGACTCAACTCCCCTCCTCTTGTATAGAAGTTAGAATTTCTTCTCATTTTTCCTTCTTGCTAGAAGCTTTCCGCTATTTTTCGTAGGTGACTTTCCCTACTTAAATTCAGTGCTCCTCTCCAGCACAGAAGAAAAAATTTTCTCCTTTCACTGTCTTCTCCTATGACTATTTTCTTACAGTCGAGGCATTCCGTTATTTTTCGTAGGTGACTTTCCCTACTTAAACCGGCGCCCCTCTTCTTGTACAGAAATTAGACTTTTTACAGTCGTTTCTTTTCTTTCTCTTTCCTCATTTTAACTTTCTTACATTTGAGGCATTCCCCTGTTTGTTGTAAACGGCATCCTCTACTATTCAGGTCCCCTCTCCGTGTGTAAAAGTTAGAATGTTTGATCCTTGTTCTTCTTTTGCGTTCTTCTTCTTACATTGGAGGCATTCCACTGTCGAAGATAGACGGCATTCCCCTATCAAGCTTCAGTGTCCCTCTATTGTGTAAAAGAAGTTACGATGAGAGGCTATCTTCTTAATAGACAACTCTTAACATAAGAAAATCAATTGTTGCTTGTATGTGAGGGTGATTTGAGAAGATATGGCGGTCATAGCGTCCTGGAGGAGAACCAGAAGTGATGAGTAGGCGGGGAGAATTTTGACACTGTTTGAGCGAAGTTTGTCGACGATGGACAATCGAGCGGAAGTTTATTGGCAATCAACGACCGATTGGAGGGTAGAAGGAGAGAGTTTGAAGGTGCGCTGCAAGTAGCAGTTTAGCGAATCCACCAAGGATGTAAGGACCGCCGGCAAATATCATACGAAGGGCTGATGATCGCAGATGTCCAGTGGCATTTTGCTAAGGCAATATGCATCCATATTGACATGTGCAGACATCATATTTCTTTCTTTGAAGAAGAAGTTGTAGGAGATGCTTCAATGTGCAGTAGAGAATATGTCAATATAATCTACTAAAGATATTTGACTTTTTTGAAGTTGTTTGATGATTGTAACTTGTACATATGATGCAGATGTACTTTTAATTTCAACTTCTAGTGAGAATAAATGTACATTTGAATCTTTATGTTGGATTTATGTAACTCCATTGTATATGAAGTTAAAAATTTGTCCCTCAGAGAAAATTGATTTATTTATGCATCTTTAAGATATGATTTGATATATTGCCCCCGATATTTTTGTGAGGGTATTTTAAACTACTGAAGTCTTTATATGAGTGATGAATTTATCAACCACTTACTTTCATGGAATCTTTATAGAGAGAATATTGTTCACTCAGAGCACTGCTTGACCTCTATGGAAGAAGTCGAGAGAATCCACCAAGAATATATGACATATTCAAGGTTGTATGCCAGAGCATTTGCTCGATGACGCTAACTTATATTAAAGAGGTCGAGAGAATCTACCAAGGATGCATCCGAGGTTGTATGTCAGAGCCTTTGCACGATGACGTTGACCTGTATGGAAGAGGTCGAGAGAATCCACCAATGATGTAAGACCTTTCCAAGGTTGTATGTCAGAGCCTTGCTCGATGACGTTAACCTGTATCGAAGAGGTCGAGAGAATCCACATAGAATGTAAGACCTTTCCAAGGTTGTATGTCAGAGCACTTTGCTCGATAACGTTAATATGTGTGGAAAAGGTCGAGAGAATCCACCAAGGATGTAAAACCTATTCGAGATTGTATGTCAGAGCACTTTGCTCGATGACGTTAACTAGTGTGGAAGAGGTCGAGAGAATCCACCAATGACGTAAGACTTTTTTGAGGTTATATGTCAGAGCCTCGCTCGATGACATTAACATATACGGAATAGGTCGAGAGAATCCAACAATGATATAGGACCTTATCCGAGGTTGTATGTCAGAACTTTGCTATATGACATTGAATTCTATGGAAGAGGTCGAGAGAATCCACCAAGGATGTAAGACTTATCCGATGTTGTATGTCAGAATACTACTCGATGACGTTAACATGTGTGAAAGAAGTCAGAATAATCCACCAAGGATGTAAGACCTATCCGAAGTTGTATGTCAGAGCCCTGCTCGATGACGTTAACCTGTATGAAAAAGGTCGGGAGAGTCCACCAAGGATGTAAGACCTATCCGAGGTTGTGTATCAGAGCCCTGCTCGATGATGTTAACCTGTGTGGAAGAGGTCGGGAGAATCCACCAAGGATGTAAGACCTATCCGAGGTTGTATATCTCAGCCTTAGCTCGACGATGTTAACCTGTGTGGAAGAAGTCGAGAGAATCCAACATGGATGTAAGACCTATCCAATGTTGTATGTTGGAGCCTTTGTTCAACGACGTTAACTCGTATGTAACAGGTCAAATCGGATCACCATGGGATGGGTTTAGCATTGATTGGGAGGGGGCGAATGCCGCATGTATCCTAAATCAAAGATGAAAAATGGTCTATCTTTAGAGCGTTCCTACCTTTTGAGGTCAAGATTAAGACCTCCCCAAGGAATAGAAGTCCAGCAATGGACTGTATAAAGCTTGTAATTAATTGGAAGTATCATTTCTATCACTGGGATCTTTCTTGAAATATCATCTTGATATTGAAAGCATTGGATGATCTTTTTTGCCATTGTTGGAGTAAAACTTGCCCCCAGTCCGTATCTGATTCTTATGAAATTGATGCAGCAATGACTGATATCCAGAAGTTGACATGAATGAACTTCTGAGGTTGAAGCAAAATTTGCCCCCTAGTTGGGAACCAAGTTCCCACAGACGGCGTCAAACTGTTGTGTCCATGAGTATTCGCAGCGGTAAAGAAATATAAAGTTTAACGTCTTAGCGTTGTACGAAAATTCGGCACGCAATCAGATAAGAGAGAGGGTGTAGCATTCATATGAGACACCAATATTTTTACGTGGAAAACACCTGAAAAGGGGGAAAAATCACGGGGCCTAACCCAGTTTGAATGATTCCACTAGTATTTGTAGTTGATTACAAATGAGGTCTTTCCTTGAGGGGAAGGCCTTAGATCTATGTACATCATATGCAGTACATTATATGATGGGAATACAAAGAGCTACTGTTGACGTGTTCATTTGAACGGACTGTAGTCGGTGGGCGACGTAAGTCAAGAGGACCGTAGTCGGCGGGCGACAGATGTCGGAAGGACTGTTGTCGACGGCCAGGGAGAACTCCGGTGTTAGATAGTATTCGGACAAAACTCCAGAGTCACCTGGATATCAGACATAATTCCAGCGTCCCGTGGAAGTCGGCAGAATTCCGACGTCACTTGGAAGACGAATGGAATTCCAGCATCCCTTGGAAGTCAGGCGGAATTCCGACGTCACTTGGAAGTTGGACGAAATTCCGACAAAATTCCGGCGACGGAGGTCGAGGAGTTTCTTCCCTCCTAATCTTCTTCTCTTCTCTTCTCTTCTCCTTCTCCTCTTCTTCTTGCTTGGGTCCCCTCTCAAAAGAAATGAGGGGTCGATTTATAGATATTATGGGGTGGCATGGCCTGTAAATAGGTGAGAGATCAGAGGTAAATGGGGAGTGGTTGGATGGACGACCGATATTGAATCCCTTGATCGTGTACCATTCGGCAGACATTTGAAGGTCGTAGTGATGTCGGAATTCAGCGATCTTGGGCTCGTTGGATTCGTCTCGTCGAGCCGCTCGATTAGACTATAAGCACGTCATATTTGAAAACCATTTGGTAGCTCAAATTGTGGTTTGAACTTTCCAACAGCACTTCGGCTCCCTGATTTGGACTTTTTTGGGCTCAGATCGAGTTGAATTTGGTGTCGTTGGGTTCGTATTTCCGTGACGCTCAGTTTGACTGTAAGTTCGTTGAAATCAAAGTTCAGGTGATCCCGGATTTAATTTTTGAAGTTTCCGGCTTGATTTTGCCTCGAGATTCGTGCCCGATCAAGATAATTTTTGATGATATATCAAGTAGAAATTGGTTTAAAATGAGGGACCTACCAGCCAAAGCAAGGAGTAGAGAATCAATATGTACCTAGGTTAGAGAGAACAGTGAACTCTAAGGCAAAAGAAGGACCGAGTGGGTTAGGAATGAACCAAGTTTGTCAAGTCCAAACACGATCAAAGTAAGTCCAAATGTCCATGAAATAGGAGAAAAACAGGGGAAGGTGTAGGCTCGCAATAAGGTGCTGACAATAGAAACAAGAGAGGCTTGCTGATTTGCCATCTTAATCCAATCAGCGGATGGGGACCTTGAGATTGACAACCACATAGGAAGTGCAATGAGAACCTTAACAATAGACAAAAAATCTCGTGATCAAAATTTTTATGGGAAAGAAAGAAAATTTCAATAGTTTTTATTATGTTTGCAATTACAAATATGTTGCCTGTTGGATCCACGATTGAATTCAATTGACTTTGGAATACAAATTCAAATCCAACTATTTGCAAACCAGCCCAACTAGCCAAGTGATGTTCTCTAACTAAATCTAGGTCAAGCTCCCCTGTAGACCAACAAACAAAAAAGCAACCCAATAAATGAGCTTATCTATTTTATATGAATAAACGCTGTGCAAGAATGAACACACACTCAAAGAGACTTAATGGAGAAAGATGATTCATAAGACTTTTCCCAAATGGTTGGAATAAGCCTACTAACGTTCATAATGAAAATATTGCTTCTTTTGATTGGACTATTTGTTAGCTAAGTTGCAATTTTTTCTTCTACCTCTAAACTTTTCTTGGGAATATTAGAACACATAAGCCCAACTATTTCATGCGAAAAACAAAAACAAAAAAACATTATTAAGGCATTGTTGATAAAAAGAAAATAAGTGCAACATGATAAAATAGTATATGAAAGACGTACCAAACCCCTTCGTACAATCAAACAGCAAATTTACACTGTTTTGAAGGGCCCGCCACTTTTGCAAGACATATTGGTGACTAGCTTTGCCTAAAGCGACGTTCGAATCCAGCACTCGGCCCAATAAAATATTTTGAGGGTGTTCCAACAACTACAATAATAGCACATGAAAAAAAACATCAATAAGCTTCTTTACAAGAAAAATTAGTATCAAAATTGAATTAAGAATCGATCTATTTTAATCTCCCCAACCACTATCCAAGTAGGATAAAGTAATAAACTTCTCATAATTTGCATACCAAGTTATTTCATAGTACAATATAACAGAACCTAGTGACAGCAAATGGAACCAGTACAGTGAAAAGGAATACAGGAGTGAGTAAAATATTTCTAGGGGTTAATTTGAATTTCTATAATTAGGAGTTAATTCAAAATCCTTCCTTAATTAAAATTCCTATGTTGGCAAGTCTTTTAATTCCTCAAATCAATGTCCCCATCTATAGCTTGCCATATCGTTCTACATCAAATAGTCCTGAAATGAACTATCCAAGTGGCTTATGAGGTTGCATGCTCCATCCAGTTCCAGGTTCCCTTTGGGCTAACTTACTAATCCTAAATTAGGTGAAAAGAAAAGTAAATTCAGAAGATCATTATCCACCTATGACGGTCAATTCATTTTATTTTTCGGATTGTATTAATGTAAATTATGTAATGCATTCTCCGTGACATGCCTTGTCATAACATTGGAATAAACTCCACATGACATACATGCAAAAACGATGGCTTATAAAGTAGCATCGGATATAAAAGATAAGGTGTTGGAAACATTCTAACAACCTGCACGCTTCGCTACGAACCAGCCCTATAAATTCAAAAAATCAAAGGTTTGCCCTTCAAATAAAGCTGATCCAGAAATACAAACTGTACATTTTGAAGTTTTTTTAATTAACTTTTTCCATCAAAAACAACAAAAAAGTATATTTATAATTTTCAATAAATAGGATTTGCAAGTCAAAAATAAGACTAGAGTAATAACTGATCTTCCTCAGGTATGCGAAGGATTATTTGTATAATTTCTTTTTCTAAAAGAGGTGTTTACAATTTTTGTGTCCTATATAGTATTTGTGTAATTGTTGCTTTGTTGTTTTGAGGGCATGTGGTCTATTTAAAGCCCCTTCCTCTTGTAGTTTTCTAATTTGTCGATACCATTTCATAATTCAGTTTCTTAGGGTGGATTCCTTAGTTCTTGGAATAAAAATTCAATGAGGTCGTTGTGGAGTCTTGGGCTCTGCCATAATAAACCGAATGGAGAACCTCGAAGTTCTAGGCCAGCATGAACCAGCAAGCGGTTAAAAAATAGAAAAAGACTGTCAGGCAGCAACAGCGCATCAACTGCAGGGTTCTCCAACGGTTGTGCTTAAGCACCAAGATGTAAGGGCATTCGAGACACCATCAGTCCAACAAAACAACAACATGTTCTCTAGCAGATATAACAAGGTCGGGTGGCTATTTTTTGGCATTGGTGTGTAAGGTACCTAAGGAGCAAAAAAACAACACTAAGGTACTGTTGACCTTGATATACATCCCATAATCAATTCAAGTGAGCACAATGAGAACGACATTTGAACGACAAGATGACGCAATGTAGCAAGTCCCAATACCTCGACGGCGATCAACCGATGCAGTGAAGGGTGTAGCGAGCTCAAAAGCCTTAACATTGCACAAAGATACTCAAACAACATGTGTTTATGAAACGGACTGTGTTAGCGCTACCAAAACGTCAAATTTATCCAAACAGAAATACTCGCACATGACTTGAGTGAATGCAATCGAAACAATGATCTATAGATGTGATGTTGTGCAAAGTCAACCGAATGTCATATATTTCTGAAAATTGAAATGGCTTTGTCATACGCCCAGAACATCAAAATTACTTAGAAAGCATACCTATAATTCTTGGTTCGTTGCACAAGTAGAAATGTGAAATTTTCTTGCCTGCAAGTCAATAGCACGCAAATCGAGATAAATGATTGAAGAGGATTCACGTGATGAGTCATTTAACTTTTCATTGTATTTTAATTAATTTTCTAAATAATTATATATATATATAACGATAAAACAGAAATTCAAATAAAATATTATTTTAATCCTAAATCTAAAAAGCAACTCCTCTCATTATCTCAAATTAAAACCCTTGAAATCATTCTCATTCTCCCCTCCTGCTCTCTACACAACAATCTCCCCCTCTCGCTCTCTGGTTCGCAAGATCCAAGCCGCAAGTCATCTCCTCTTTGCTTCCTTACTCGACCCGCCGACAACCCCAACCTCCCAAGGATGATGTTGTCTGCTTCCTTCTCTACCCCCTACCCAACATCATTGTTGGACAATCCACTGGTGCCAACCCATGCTGAGCTTTGGTTCACACAAACTAGCTATATACACATGCTCACCTTCCCACCAACCAACTCCATCTATACCCTACTTCCGAACTCCAAACCACAGATACCCACACACCGCATGTAACAACTCAAACTATTAACTATCGAGGAATTGTGCTCTTTGGCCTAATGGCCTCACGGTTTTCTCCCGTTGGTGTAACTTCTCAGGATGTCACCCATCACAAAATTGCTCCCGGAAGAACACGCTTAACTTCGAAGTTTTTTTAATGAAATTCCAACTACTGCACCAAAGGCATCTCGATGCTTAAGAGTTTAATTTCTTTTTACTTAAAAGAGTTTCATAATCTCTTCCACTTAAGTAACTGAAGTCCTTATCGGTTCGTATCTAAGAATTATCTACCATGCAGAAAGCATGTTAGAGATAGCCCCTACAAGTTCATTTGATATCCCCCGCCATTTAACACTTTGTCTCATATAGCATCTAAGATATGGCCTCCATGGCGTAGAACTTTGTCTAGTATGACAGTTAGTACCCATCTTCCGACTGGTGTACAGTTTTAATACCATTTTGTGATAGCTCAAAATGTTAACTATTGAAATATTGTTTGCTTGACCTAATGCCCTCACGATTTTGCATCGTAGATGTAATTTCCCAGGAAGTCACCCATCCTAGGATGGCTCACGGACGAGCACGCTCAACTTTAAAGTTTTTTTAATGAACTTTCTATTATTATAATAAAAGGCATCTCGATTCTTATGAGATTAATTTCTTTTTACTTAAGTGGTTTCACACCACACATCCAACCAAAGCTCCCATGAAACTCTTTTTCTCCCTTCTCTTCACACTTAGTAGCAGCAGATGCTACCTCACAACCCCTTGGTCTCAACCCTGTCAACTGCCTACTCTTCACACGACACCTCCCAACAGCTAAAAGCCAGCTCCTCCTCTTCCTTCTACCAACTAGATGTCTGTACTACCTACCTGATAAACCCTACCACTCAACTCCTCTGAAACCATCATCCAGTTGATATAAATTGCCTCGAGGCCATCAACAATACCTGCAAGACGCCTAAATCTTACCAAAGGCCGAACCATCTTCTCTCCACTAAACAGCAACTCCACCTCCCTACTCACCCAACCTAAACGATCTACCCAAGCCAGCCTCTTTCTAACTCTCTCTCTCTCCCCACTCTCCCTTCCATTCTCTCTCTAAATAGAGAGAGATTTCCTATCTCTCCTCCCAACTCTCTCCCCCCACCAAGTAGAAAACAAATTTTTTCTCTCTACTCGCTTTCTCTTTCCCACATTCGCTCTCTAACTCTCTCACTTCCCCTTTTTCAGACTCTCTTTCTATTTCTCTCAATAAAACCCTCTCCTCAATTTATCTCTCTAAATAGAGAGAAACTTCACCCTCTCGCTCTTTCTCTCCATCTCTCTACGCTCTACATTATATAAGAAAATCAATAAGAAAAATCTAATAGCAAAAAATATGAAAGCCAATATATATATAAGATGAAAAAAATTACAACATCAAGCCTTTATCCCACTACGTGGGGTCGGCAACATAAATCCTTTTTCTCCATTGTGTCCTATTAAAAGTCAAACTCTCATTTAAATCTAAAAAAGAAAGGTCATTTCTAATATTTTCTAACCAAGTCTTTTTAGGTCTACCCCTACCTTTCTTAACATAAGTCAAATCTAATACCTCTACTCTCTTAACAGGGTCATCGGAAGGCCACCGTTTTATATGACCAAACCATCTAAGGCGACTCTCTCTAATCTTGATGTAGACAAAGGGGGGGTCAACACAAGTCCAAAATAATTCAGATTTTGGCTTCCCTTGAGTCTACTAGCTCAATCCAATTGAGCTAGAATTTTAGCTCATTTATGAGCTAGGCTTTAGTTCATTTATTGAACTAGGGGTTAGCTCATTATTAGCTAGGATTTTTAGCTCATAGATATCTTTTAATTAATGTAATTTTATGCTTTTTATGTTTGTTTTAATGTTTGTCTCTTGGAATTCCAAACCGGCCTTTGGAATTCCAAGATTACTTTTTCCTATGGTGGCTCCTTGAATTCCACCATGGCCTTTTAGTATTTTGTGTTTGCCTCTTGGGATCTCACGGCTGGCTCCTTCTTCCGTGCGATTCCTTCGTTTCCCGTGGCCGTGGCTCTCGGTCCGTGCGATTCCCTTCGTCTCCCGTGGCTGCCTCCTTGGTTCCTGGTTTGGGTGTTTAACCGTGAGCTTGAGGGGGAGTTTTCTATGTGTTTCTTGGATCTATTGTTCAGAGTGATGGTGAAATAGATGGGATTATTATCAACAGAATTCAAGTTGGATGGTTGAAGTGGAGGAATGCATCGGGCTTGTTATGCGATAGAAAAATCCCCTCAAACTTAAGAAAAAATTCTATAAGATGGTGGTGAGACCTGCACTGCTTTATGGTGCAGAATGTTGGCCATTAAAAGAGAAGCATAACACTAAGTTAAGTGTTGCCTAGAAGAAGATGCTTAGGTGGATGAGTGGCTTTACCCTTAGAGATAGGATATGAAATGAGCATATACATGAAAAGGTTGGAGTAGCTCCAGTGGAAGATAAGATTAGAGAGAGTCGTCTTAGATGGTTTGGTCACATTAAATGGAGGCCTTTTGATGACCCAGTTAGGAAAGTTGACGTAGTAGATTTGACTTATGTTAAGAAAGGTAGAGATAGACCTAAAAATGATTGGTAAGAAAATATTAGAAATGATCTTT